TTCAATTTTTTTCTCGGACAAAGTGTAATCTAATGTCTATATAACTTATATTGGAGATATTGGCAATGAATAGTGAAATGTATAATTAAATTTAAAAGTTCAAAAAGGCCAATATACAGAGGGGTGCAAAAGTAGGTATACACTAATGAAACATTTTATAGAAAAATATATTTACTCGTATAAAAAGTAAACATTTTTAAATTAATCTGAAGAGTATTAATACGCCTAATTAACTCTTAAACATGCTGTACTTGACAAAAACACTCACTCCCTTGTGTGTTCAAACTGTTTGCCTGTTTGTACTGTATACCTACTTTTGCACCTCTCTGTATAACAAATTATTTTAATCCACAAGCGCTTTCAGAAACTATGTTTCCATCGTCAGGCTGTGTTTAAACTATGATACAAAAAGTAAATATTTACAATAATAAATTAATTTAAAGTAAGGTTAAAACAGATGATGAAGAGGATATTAGAAAAATATATGAAAAAATAATCTTTTGAAATTTGGATATATTACGGTGTTTTTCTTGATGTAATTATTTAAGTATATATATGAGGTATTTTAAGGCCATAGTTGGGAAAGTTAGTCAAAAATTCTAACTAGTTAGACGTTATAAGTTAGTCCCGTAAAAAGTAACTGATAGAAGTTATAAATTAGTTAGTTTAAAAAGTAACTGATAGAAGTTATTAGTTAGTTGAAAAACTAACTGATAGAAAATAAAGTTAGTTTTAGTAGAAATTAGTTGTTCGTTGGGCAGTTGTTTTAAAGTATTTTTTAATGTCACATCTTGGTTACTAATATATACTATAATATGAGTAAAGATTGCGCAAGATATGATTTAAAAAATGGCTCATACGATTTCCTCCAATTTTAATGCTATTGAAAATTGCTTGTATAATACATTTGCATTGTATGATGTCATATTAACCAAAGGGATAATTACGACTGTTCAAAAACATTAAGTGTTCTACTGCAAAACAATATACACTGACTTTGAACTAAAAATCTAAAGGAAAGGCCAAGGAGATTTGTATTTTTCGACGATGCACCGCACGAATTGATGCGTTATTACACCATCCCGTAATTATAGTTGCAACGTTCCACGATCCCAGTGACTTAATGCAATAACGGTCGTCAGATAACAGATGTTATGTATCATGAGTTTTATATTGATTGAAGCTTATTGTGGACATTTTATAGATTGATCGTCCAAATTAAAAAGTTTTGTAGACTAAATTGAGGATAAGTGGATGTCTAACAAAAACGAATTGACTTTACTATTTAATTAATCGTAGTAAGACTGAAAATATTTGTAGGCTTATAAGCTCTATTTTTTACCTCTTGAACAAATCAAACACCTCGAGCAGGATCGGTCCCCTGGTACTTGTGTTTTAATCAAACATTGTCACATTTTACATTACTACAACATAAACAAATGACATAAAACTTGTCAGATAATGAACATCAACTAAAGACAATGTTTTGACACTTATCAATCACCAAACAAACATTTCCCCTTCCCACCCATCAGAGCTTGAAGTGTTGATAATGGCCGTCACTACCCTTCCACAGGCCCACTGCATTCCAAAGCAACTGGACTTTGACTTTCTATTTCCCCACCCCCCGCGTTGTTTGTCTACAAGGGCACTGACCTCTCACGGCCGCACGCAACAACCCTCACTGATCACGTGAAATAAATAACCAGTATTTGAGATGCTTCCGCATAATTGGGAAAGGTAGTTGAAAATTCTAACTAGTTAGAAGTTATTAGTTAGTCCCGTAAAAAGTAAATGATAGAAGTTATTAGTTAGTTAATTTCAAAACAAACGAATAAAATAGAAGTTAGCCAAAAAAACTAATGAATAGTTCTATTCGATAGAATTTCTATTCGTTATTCCCAAGTATGTTTAAGGCTGATATATTTATGAGCCATTTTGAGATTTTGGCAAAACAATCATTACCATATTTTCCCAGAATTTGGATTAGATATGTTGATGACATATTTGCTGTCTTTGACAAAAACCAAGACATAAAAATATTTACCAACCAAATCAACGGAATATATCCAACAATTAAATTCACGACAGAAACAGAATTAGATGGAAAACTCCCATTTTTAGATGCAATGGTAATTAAAGCAATAAATAAACTCGAGTTTGACATATACAGAAAGAAAACACATACAGATAGATATATTACCAATGACTCAAACCACCCACCATTTCAGAAAAGAGCTGTTTTTCATTCATTGATTCATAGATTACTCAATACACCCTTAACAAAAGAACGATTTAACAAAGAACTGAAATATATCAAAAATGTAGCGACTTTTAATGGATACTATACAAAATTAATAGACAACATGTTAAGAAAATCCAAATGAAAAAAACATAAAAATCAGAGAACTACCCACATTTCAGAAAAGAAAAAAGAAAAGAATTGGATTAGTATAACATACAACTCAAAATTTGCAAGTAATATTAAGAACATTTTTAAGAATAAAACATCACAAAATTTATCTGTCAGACCTATTGACCTACTGAAATCAAAATTAGGCAATCCTAAAGAAAAACCATCAAAATTTGAATTGTCTGGAATATATGAAATTAATTGTAATGATTGTAACATGAAATATATCGGCCAAACAAAGAGAAAAATCCAAACCAGATTCAAAGAACACCAAGCTCATACAAAATACAGAAGACCTGAAAAATCAGCCCTTGCTAGCCACAGTATTAATACAGGACACATTTTCAATTTGGGAAACCTTAAACTTTTGAAACATATTATAAAACCTCAACATCTTGATGCATGGGAATCTTATTTTATAGAAAAAAACAGATCAAAATTATTTGTTAAATAATGAAGACGGCCCAATTATAAACTCGGAATTACTTAAAATAATTACATCAAGAAAAACACTGTAATATATCCAAATTTCAAAAGATTATTTTTTCATATATTTTTCTAATATCCTCTTCATCATCTGTTTTAACCTTACTTTAAATTAATTTATTATTGTAAATATTTACTTTTTGTATCATAGTTTAAACACCGGTGGGGCAGTGCAAGTCCGAGGAACGGAGGATCGTGGATCAGATCATACCGGCGCATCAGCATAGCTTATCTAACTGTTCGCGGAAAATTGTTATCTGTATCACTGTTGCTGTCAAAACGTATAATTTGTAGATTAAATTTGAATTAAATATAATTAAACTATCATAACCTAACCAAACTAACCAAACTTGCTGATAATGATAAACTCGAATGAAGGTTTACTAATCGAAAAATAGCTCTGTTCTAAAAATAAAATTAAAAATGTCTCAAATTCAATTTTACAATCTTTTAATTATAAAATTAAACTGTCATAACCTAACCAAACCAACCAAACTTGCTGATATGAAAAAAATTGTTGACAAAAAGTTAGTGCTCCCAGTGGGATTCGAACCCGGCACCATCAGATTATCAGCCCGACACGCTATCCACTACACCACAAAGGCTCATGACTCAGTTCGGTTCAGTATCGTTGCAGTAATGGTTGACGTCACGCCATCGGCACTGAGCGGTGGTGGGGGGTTTTTTGATCTGATCCACGATCCTACCGATCGGCCGTTCCTAGGAGTTGCACTGGCAGTCTAGATGCTTATAAAACACTAAGGCAATAATCAAATATAAAAACATAAACATTTGACTTAAATAAAATTAATAGTCACATGCTAGCTTATATACAGATCATGAGTGAAAGTCCAACACTGCTGAACTTTAAAGGTCATCTCCAGACAATAAGGTGGGATTGGCTTTTCGAAACCCCGATGCATGGTTTGACGTGTTCTTTGACTTTGAGACTTTACAGGACACTTTTGAGGAATGCTTCCCCGCCACGATCAAAAGAGGTCAAAGGTAAACACAAGAACTTCATCGAAACCCAGGCACTGAGTGAGGGATTGGTACTCCCCTAACCTGATTGAAATAAAAAATTGTATGATGGTCTTCGTGACAGAGGGGTTGTACACCTTTACCTGGCCCTGAAAAGATCTTACAATAAAAAATCCGAGGAAGCCAAAAGGCTGGCAAACGTTCATTTTATTGAAGGCTCGCAAAATCAATGCAAAGCAGCCTGGAGTGTGGTAAATAGTGTAAAGCTCCAGAAACCCAAAATGTCCTGCATGGCGAGTCCCCCATCCTCATAGCCCCCTTTGTTGGAAGGAGTGTGGAAGAGCTCCACTGTTTCTTTGACAGATGGATCCCCAGTGCCGGATTTACCACTAGACCGATTAGGCATGACTTCACCGCGGCTGCGGGTGTCGATGATGTCACCGTGATTGCAGCCTGAGGGAGATGTTCACGATTTTGCCGCGGTCGCGAGTGTTGATGTCGCCGTGATTGCAGCCCACGGTAGATGTTTACGATTTTGCTGCGGCCGTTGGTGTCGATGATGATGTTCCTGTGAATGCAGCCCGTGGGAGATTTTAACGATTTCGCCACGGCTGGGGGTGTAATGAGGATGTCTCTGTGATGGCTTCCCGAGGGGTATGTTTACGATTTCGGCACGGCTGCGGGTGACAATGATGATGTCCTCATGATCGCAGTCCACGGGAGATGTTTTAACATGACTTTGACGCCATCGCAAGTGTCGATGATGATGTTCCTGTGATTGCTGCTTCGCAGGAGATGTTTATAAGTTTGCCACGGTGACGATTGTTGATGATGATATCCCTGTGATTGCAGCCCACGGGAGATATTCACAATTTTACTGCGGTCACAGGTGACGATGTCGTCAAGGTCACAGCTCGCGGGATATGATCACAATTTCGCTGCAGTCGGGAGTTTTGAGGATGATGTCCCTTTGTTGCAGCCCGAGGGGAATTTTCATGATTTTGCCGCGGTCACGTATACCTATGATGGCTTTGACTTGATTTAGGAGAGATGTCCACGATTTCATTCACGATTACTTCCGCGATTGCAAGGAATTTCTACTACAGGGGGAGGGCCGGACAAGTAATTTGGCCTAGGGCCGCAAGTACCCTAAATCTGGGAATCCCATCTCAGAGAAGCAGATACATACTCTGATCTCTGGTCTTAAAAGTTTGAGAGCCTATGATTGCTATGGCTGGTAATCGACAGTCACTGCAGTTATTGAATTTATTGAAAGTATAATAAATGCAGTGGATAAGAGAGAAAAAGTAATTGGCATTTTTCTTGATTTAACAAGGGCATTTGATAGTGTATCGCATGAAAATCTTATCGACACTTTATCAAAATTAGGTATTCATGACAAAGAATTAAATTGGTTTAAATCCTACCTATTTCTTAGGCAACAATATGTTGAGATAGAACATTATAAATCAGATTTCTCAAGTAAATATAATTACATCCAAAAGTTTAATTCACAGATGCAGATGGTCCGCCATGGAGTTCCGCAGGGGTCGGTGTTGGGGCCCCTCTTGTTCCTAATATACTTGAGGGGTCTGCCGGACTTGATGCCTGTGGGCGGGGCGGCCTGTTTGTATGCTGATGATACTAATATTACCATTTGTGGAAATTCAAAAGAAAGTATTGAGGCATCATCATTGGCCAGTCTCTCCATTATAAAACAATTCTTAGATAGCAAAAACCTTCTTTTAAACCCTGAAAAATCTAATTTTGTATCATTTTCTACAAAACAAAACAAAAACAAATTAAATCCAGACATAATCTTAGAAGATTATAAATTACAACAGGTAGAACATACAAAATTTCTTGGTTTAATAATTGATAAAAATCTAGCCTGGGACAAACATGTTGATCATGTTATCAAAAAAATGTCTTCAGGAGTATCTGCTTTAAGACAAATGTATAAAGTTTGCAGCTTAAAAACATTAATATCAATATATTATGCCTTAGTTCATTCTAATTTAGCTTATGGAATCAGTATATATGGAGCAACTACATCAAAAAACTTAAAACGGATTTTATCGTACCAGAAAAGGGCAATTAGGGCAATGTTTAATTTGAAAAGGAAAGATTCGGTAAAACATATTTTTACCGATCTTGGAATACTAACTGTTCATGGACTATATATCTTGGAAACTATTATTTATGCAAAAAATATTACAAAAACTCAGGTATCCAACAAAATTAGTCATAATTATAACACTCGTTCTCAATCTCACATTGATAGACACAATCTAGAATTTTATAAAAAGAAAACAAAATTCGCAGGAAATAAATTTATGTCCCATCTTCCAAAAATACTTCTAAATGAAAATGATACAAAAAAGTTTAAAAATTGTCTGAAACAGTATTTGATTAAAATTTCCCCTTATTCTCTTGAAGAGTTTTGGGAGAACAAATAAAATAAATATTCTGTCTTATTTTTAGTTCTTAAATGTAAAACATTTTATTTTGTAATATCTGACTCTATTCCTGTACAATTGTACTTACATGAATAAAGGATATTTTGATTTGATTTGATTTGATTTGATTTGAATCTTAAATGTTAAAGGATGTGGCTGATGACATCGCTGCCCCCTGACTACAGTCGTCAACAGATACTTATATATATACAGGGTGAGTTTTAATTGTCCCCCCCCCCAACTTTTTTCTACATTTTTTCAAATATCAATCCCAGACCACTTCCAAACATTGTTGGGTAGTAAGTACTTCATTTTGACAAGGTGGCCATTTCCGGCCGCCATCTTGGATCCGCCATATTGGATGCAAAATTTTTTTTTCAAATGTAAAGGTGGGGTTGTGACCCATTATTTCGAACTAAATTTTTACCCTGATTACAATGCCGCAAACCGTTTAAAAAAATCTTGATTCATTCTAAAGTTATGAGGGCTTTTTAAAACTTTATTTTTAGCCCATTTTAACATTGTGCATTTACAAACTAAGACCATAATCTCAAAATAGTGCTAGATAAAGATAAGTATACACTACCAGTAATTGTCGACCTATTTTCACTTGGTTATGACTGATGTATTTTTTTCGGCCGCCATCTTGGATCCGCCATTTTGAAATGTGATCAATTATTTTAAATATGAAGGGGGCGTTGTGACCCATCATTTCGAACTATTTTTTTAAGCTGAACTTAATTCCATGATCCGTTTTTCATTTTCATTTTTTGATTTTGAAATATTGACATTTTTAACAAAAAAATTTCCATATTTCATAAATAAAACTTGATAACAAAAAATGGATTGCGGCATTGTCTTCAGCTTAAAAAAGTAGTTCGAAATGATGGGTCACAACACCACCTTCATATTTAAAATAATTTATCACATTTCAAAATGGCGGATCCAAGATGGCGGCCGAAAAAAATACATCAGTCATAACCAAGTGAAAATAGGTCGACAATTACTGGTAGTGTATACTTATCTTTATCTATCACTATTTTGAGATTATGATCTTAGTTTGTAAATGCACAATGTTAAAATGGGCTAAAAATAAAGTTTTAAAAAGCCCTCATAACTTTAGAATGAATCAAGATTTTTTTAAACGGTTTGCGGCATTGTAATCAGGGTAAAAATTTAGTTCGAAATAATGGGTCACAACCCCACCTTTACATTTGAAAAAAAAAAATTGCATCCAATATGGCGGATCCAAGATGGCGGCCGGAAATGCCCACCTTGTCAAAATGAAGTACTTACTACCCAACAATGTTTGGAAGTGGTCTGGGATTGATATTTGAAAAAATGTAGAAAAAAGTTGGGGGGGGGGACAATTAAAACTCACCCTGTATATGTGTCCGTTAGCACGATAACTCGAGCAAAAATGATCCGATTTTGATTAAATTCGGTACAAACGTGTAAACCTACATTTATTCAAACGAGTTCGCGAACCAGCATGATCGGACTATGGGAACGGGGGTTTATGGGGGGTTTTATGGGGTGAAAATAGGTTTTTCCCATTTTTGACCCTATAAACACAAAATTTCACACTTTCTTTCCAAACCATTTTGTACAGCTTAAAAAAATAAACAATTTATTATGTTGAAGTGTTATTATGCGCCTATTAGTTATAGAGAAATTTCCAAAAAACTGTAAATTTAAAATTCCCATGTTATTCTTATGGAGAATAAGTCAACTGTTGTAGTTTACTTGTTTATGAACATATTTTGGAAAATACTTTCATTTCTTACTAAACTATTAAAATTTGACAAAAAAAATACTTTTTACCCTCCCTGTTACAGCAAACCTAAGTACTCGTTAAACTAATTCTATTTAAATAGGGAATAAATGTGATATTTTTAAGAAGGCATTTTAGTGTAAATTCAACCAGGCAAATGGAAATTCGCTAAGTCTGCAGGTTTGCTGCGGCGGGAGTATTTGAACTATTGCAGGTTTTTATGACTTTGTGATTTTCACATTAATAAACATGTGTGGAAAATCCCATAATTGGGCACTTATGGCACTTACCAATGAACTCCACTGGGCCATACGTCACATCCGACAAATAAAGAAGGTTGTACTGCCCCTTGTAGTGAATATCGAACCCAATGTGAGAAAAGTTTCTAAGGGGAAAATAATCTGTTAAAAACATCTGTTTGCCTAAGTTTTCACTTTCTTAGTTTCTCAGTAAAACAAAAAACAATATTCATCATACTGCAGCAAAAACAGCCGTTTTTAATGCATGGGTTGCGGGTCTAAAGTATCATTTTTACTCTCTAGGAAGTAAAAATCGTTTTGAGCCCCTAGGGAGTAAAAATCAGCTGTTGTAAACAGTTGTAAATTTCTATTGTGGCAATCGTATCGATCAAAATTATTTATCGATTGATTTATTAGGTACCTAAGGTTTTAGCGTATTGTTGTCGATCGCTCAACATATCGATGGTATAACGTACTGTAACACAATCGTAATATTCGTAATAGACTAAATGATTGAATCACTTACTAAACAGCTGCTTATTTGCATGGAAGTTGTTTTGAGAGATTATCTTTACATAAAAATTATTTCCTTTACTAGCTTAGTTTGTTAAATTAATGATGTAGTATTGACGAAAAATGTAGTTTACCACACAAGCAAAAAGTGTCTTTTTAACCCTCACTCATTTTCCGACCTCGGCTTCGCCTTGATTGTAAAACTTAACCTCGGGTCAAAAAGAGTCACTTTAGGACATTAATTCTGATTAAATATACTATTCTTTTCAAATATTTAGTGTATAGTGATCACCCACATTCAATAAAGTAATGTGCACACATTAAAACTTCTACAATTCCAGTTTAGGGTAATATGTTGTCACTGTCAGTAAAGTCATAGCATAACCATACATTTTTGGTGCTAAGGAGAGGGTCGAGATCTGATAACTCTTAATTTTGTTGTTGATTAAATTATCATAAGGAATTCTTGTTTACGGTATCATTTTAGTTTATATTTTCAACATTAGTTTTGACAGAGTATAAAACTAAAATATTAGATCAAATGTTTTACAAAAGACTGATGAGTGTTGTGACCAACTTTTGTTGATTCTCAAAAGTATAGCTATATTTTCAAGCTTTTTACAACCTTTTAACAGTGTTTATTCAACTTTTTTTAAATAAAAATGTATAATATGTTTTGTTTCTGTACAACCTTTTAAGCAAGAAAGGGTTTATTTGAATTATCATTTATTTAAAAAAATATTTCATAACAGTATTGAAGTAATGGAGGTGGGGGGAAAAAATTTTCTAAAATTATATGTCAAAGTTGTGTTTGCTGTTATGTTGCATGACTAGAAAGTCCTCTAAAGGATAATTACTTTGTTAATTTAAGCATACTGAAGTTTTCACTTACTGAGTTTGTGATATTGATGAATCAAACATAAACTGTTGGCTGTTACAATCTGGTGGACAATCACAAGCCATGCCCTCTTTCTGAGTTTTAAAAAATTCTTGAGATGATGTAGGTACACGAGAATTAAACACCACTAAAAAAGTCACAGATTCAGTTAAAATGCAATCTAAAACTAAGCACCCACTGAGTCGAGACGGCACAAGACGTTCTGCAATTTTTAATGGACTGTGAGAGCTGGATCAGTAGGTACAGGACATACGGACGATAGATACCTCCACAGTCTCCATCTAGCACTTTTGTTGAAAACTACATTACGTTAGTCCGCTCTGCAGCCGGCGCCAAAGCCGCGGATGAGTCATCTTCACGTCAGGATGTCCTAGAAATCTTTTCCCAAACTGTGGTCCTGTCCTGACTGTGAGGGAGGGATAGTGCGCGCACACATAGGAAAATCAATACTAAACATTAAGTCCCGTACGTACTGTCCCAACCCAGTGCATGCAAGAATTATTAATTTTTAAACATTGCTAAAGAATTATTTAATTTCAAGACCACTGTATTAATTGGGAGAATTTTAGTACCTATGTTTTTAATGTAGTCTTATGAAAATGTTTTGACACAATTCTATGTACTAATTTCATGTACAATTAGTCATACGAAGCTGTGATTATTTCTTTTAAAAAATGTTATGGACTCCAATAAGATACATTTCAAATATAAGTAAGTAACACTAAGAAAATAATATTATCCTATCCTATCCTGTCCTATAATACAAGCTAAGTCTGTTTGACTGTAGCATATAACTCGAAATCCAGCAGAAGAATTTTCACTGAATTTTGGAATTAGGGAATTGTATACATAAAAACGTGATTGGCGACATCCACTACCTAAGGAAAATTTGTATTTCGCTACACAACTGTATATTGGTTGAACAAGAAGGAAAAAGTAAACAAAATTCTTGTGTGAGGTGTTTAGTTGGGTTATGGTTTACCTAGCTTAAAATTACCTCCGTTCGCTCGGACAGCTTGAGACGTCCAGGGTTTTATCATGATTATAGATTATATCACAGAGCCCTAGGGTGGCGTTATGGTGACAACCTACTAGCAGTATCGCGCTCTTGAGGAAGATCGGCGGCCCATCGACGCGCCAAATATCGATGATAAGGTCAAAGTAAATAGCAGAATGGTTGGGTTTTAAACAATGAAAACATAACTAGTGTACCTGTTGCTGGAATTCAAGCAATGGCTAAGTATTGCAGGTGTTATTTTAAAACAAATAAAAGTCATAATTTCTGATGACTTTAAAAGATTCGACTCAAAGATTATGGAAATACAGTACTCAAGATGTACATAACAGATTGATATAATCAACATTTCTTGTAAATAGTGTTTTCTACAAATAGCCTTACTCATAGCCGCATTAGGTTGTGAATAATAACGATTGTAAATATAAAAAAAACATTATTTCTATTTCTTGTCCTTGGTGGTGTTCTATGAATTTCCTATGTTTCCATAGTTTGCAAATCGACTCTTTCAATGATAACCAAGAAATGCAGCACAGCGTTAATTCAGTTTTCTTTTTAGTAGGCCCTATATCAAATTATCCAGGCTCTCTCGCTTTTTTCCATTGTAATATTTACGCCAACCCAAATAGTAAATATTTAATTTCAACCAAGTCAGTAAATGTTTGTAGCAAACTCCTTGTTCCCACCACCCTGGCTTAAGTCTGGGACTTATTTGCCAAGCCAATTCCCCGTGAAAATCTTCTTTCTTTTTAGGCTTCAGCCACTTTCAATCCTCGTCCAGACACATTATGTGTCCAAAAGCCTAACAGCACGACTCCCTTCCCTATTTCGCCCTGAGCGATGGGATGATGGGATCATTGAGATTCGCTCTAACCTTTTCTTCTCCCCTTCATGGGCAAGTTTTCATTCCTTTTCTTTCTTAGTTTTTGTTTGTTTCTTTTTTTTTAATAAAAAAAAAAAACTTGTATGATGCCTGGTTTTTCCTTAGCTACTTTTTTAAACGTCTCAATTGTTTCCTTGTCACTCATCATGTTTTATTTTCTCATCTCTAGAGCTCTCTTATCCAAGAATTTTTCCAGTTCTCTCCTATTTGTCTCCTGAAGTGAACTATTTATAAATACGTGAATCGTGGTTTTTATTTCTCCACATCTACATACTTCCTCTTCCAACAGGTGAAATCTCCAAAAATTCGCCTTGAAATTTTCCATGTACTGTGACAAACTGCGTTTCATAATGGCCCATTTCCCAATCTTGTTCCATTCTCTTTCTGATGTTAGGTGTATATCCGAACGTTTACCTTTAAAACGCTAACATAATATTCAGCTATCAACGACAATAGATTATTTGTACTCGGCCTCCTCCTATTATTGTTTTTACTCCTATATTGACCGTCCTGGTCGACGTCTTATAGTCTCCATTATGTCAAAAATTTTTTTATTATGTTTTGATTTTGTGGAAATAAACACTGGTTTAAAACAGTGAAACATCAATCTTTTCAACTATAATCTAATAACCAGCTGTTTCAAATATTAGTGTCAATTTCAAAATATTCATCTGCTCAAATGTAAACAAACATTTTCTCCCTAAGAATAACATGGGGACTTTGAATGCCACTGGGGCAGAGCCCTGATGGAAATCCAAAGTTTTTTTGTTTGATGGCAAAACTACATGCTAAGACCTTTCTAACGACACCTTGGACGTGGTGATCGGTAGCACCACCGCTCCAAAACAATTATGACAAAAATATGCCTAGCGTATTAAATATATAGATTTACGCTTTATGACAAGATCTATTCTGTCCGATACACTCATGCTACTAAATTCGTCACATCACTGATAAATTGCATGATTAGGTTTTTCACAGATTACACAAACATGAGTAAAAGAAGACTTTCCCTTTGCTTGGTTAAACGACCCTTTACTTTGAATACCTCTATTATTAGAATGACTAATGTTAGATTCAGATGTCTTAGATATGCTTGAGGATGCCAAGGCATTAATTCTTTGGATAAGAAACGATTTTAGCTGCTCAAAATTAGGACTATCCTGTGTAGTTAAGGACATTTCCCATTGTTTTCTAGTCTCACCATCTAATTTGCTAGTTAGTATACGTACACAAGTATGCTATTCCATTCACCTACATTTTCACCTAACGACTTTAGAGCCCTAATATGGGTTTCAGATTCATCAACTAGTTTTCTAAGTCCTTGTGAGGACTCATTTTGTAAAGGTACTTGACTGAATAATCCATTTAGGTGAGAATTTACAATCAGCCTTTTGTTGTCATACCTGAGCTTTAGAATGTCCCAGGCCTCAAAATAGTTTTGATCTGTAGACGGAAGTGACTGCAATAGTTGGTGTGCCTCCCCTTTTAGACAAGATTTGAGATAAAATAGCTATTGGATGTTTGGAAGCGACTGGTTGTCATGGACAATAGATATAAATAACTCGCTGAATAAAGGCCATTCCTCAATATTCCCATTAAATGATGGTAGATGTAAATTAGGTAATTTGACTTGAGGTATAGGGTCAACTGAAACACTTTGTTGAATAGAATTAACCGAAGGAACGGGAACTAGATTAGGGACATTATTTTGATATTCACCTAGTAAATTTAATAATTTAGCTTTAGTTGCAAAATAATCATCTTCGAAAGCTCCTAAAATGTCATCATTAGCTTGTTCCTCATCTAAACTGCTAATTTCTTCATGAATTTGAAGATAACGATCAAATAGTTCATCTAGCTTTTCTTGCCTTACAATCAGGTTTGCCCTATCTGTATTGGTATTACTCACATTTTCTAGGTAGGTTTTGATTCTGGTAAGGGATGATTTCACTGTACTCCTCTGTTTTAATAATGTTGTTACTCTTTGCTGGCTCATATCGCGTGGCGTAGAAGAACCATAAAGAAAATATAGATATTAAATTAGAAAAAGTGGACTTGGTTTTCACATTGATTTACTCACTCAACTCATATTGTATTTACACTATCAATGAGAGGAAGTCAGTCAAGTAAATTAAGAATAATAGGGGCCCCAATATTTATCCTTGAGGGACACCATACTTAACAATTTTTGTTGAGGAAGTGAAAGTAATTAATTGGTTATGGCTATTTATTTGATCAATTGTGATATACTGCTGCCTGCCTGTAAGATGAGATTCAAACCAACTCCAAGCTCTCCCTTTTACACTGTTATATTTAAGTTTTTCAAGAAGTAAATCATGTGAGACACTATCAAAGGCTTTTGTTAAGTCCAAGAATATTCCAACTACTTTTTCCTTTGAATCAATTGAATTAATTATAGATTAACAGAAATCGACTCCTGCGTCAATCACAGACCTTCCTTCTCTAAAACCATATTGTTCCTTATCTAATAAATTATTTTCCTCTAAGTATTTTAAAAGTTGTATAGGCCTATGCACAACTTGCTCAAAAATTTTGGAAAATGAGCATAACAATGAGATAGGCCTGTAATTACACATTTCTTCTGGGCTACCATTCTTATAGCAAGGTTTAATTTTTGATTTTTTTAATTTTTCGGGAAAAATTCCAGAGATGAAAGAAGAGTTTATAACATCTAGTAATGGTAATAATATATATAGACGAGCCTGTTTAATTATTGGCATTGGTATTTCATCCCAGCCAGTAGGAAATTTATTATCAAAAGAAGTTATAATGTTGTCCAGCTCTTCATAAATAATTGGTGAAAGACTAAATTTTTATATAAATTTTTTGGAGGGTGAAATAATATTTTTTGGACCAGTAGAAGATATTGTTTTGGGTAATATGTCATTTTCAACCATCATTGTATAGTAATCATTGAAGAGATGACAGGCATCTTTAACATCCGTGTATTTATTGGCTTTAATATATGGTAAACTTAAACTTTCACCATGGCTTGATTTATGATTTGCTCCAACTTCCCTATTTACAATATCCCATGTAGTTTTACTGACATTTCTTGATTTTTCCAATAAGTTATGATAATAATTACTTTTAGTTTCAATGACTTCTTTTTTTAGTTCTTTCTTTTTTTTATTATCAGAATATTTTTAAATGATTTATCTTTAAAATTCCTAGCAGTATTACTCGAATCTAAAACATCTATTTAGTCCAGTAAATATGTACAAAAAATAGGGGGTTGCTGTGCAAAAGGTCGGGTAGTTCTGATTTTTGGATATGTTGTTAGTGTTGTGTCCATAACATAAAATCCAAGTTGTCCACCTCGAGATACCACCGCGCGCCGCGGGGCGCGCCACTTGTTAACGAAATAGCAAAAATCTGACCATCTGCCTGATCTTTCAGCCTCAATAAACTGTTAACTATGTTAAACTGTTATATTTTGTTTTCATGTGAAAGTATTGTACCCAAAGCTTAGCTTAAATGTTTATGTATAAACTTTTGACAGCTTTGGGAAGAGTAGTTTTGCCGTTAAAGGTATATTTTGAAGGTCTGTTTTTTGGTATGTAAATCTACATTTATTAAAACGAGTTCGTGTAGCATGATCAGGCCATGGGAACGGTTGCTTTATGGAGTTTTTTGTTAAGAACAGTTTTTTTATTTATTTTTGACCCTCAAAAGATAGAATTTTACAATGTATCTTCAAACCATTTTGTAGAGCTTAAAAACAAATAATTTAGTACATAAAAATGTTTTTTACAGTTATTGGTTACGGAGATAGTAAAAAATAATTGCAAATAAAAAATCTCCATGTTATTCTAATAGCAAAGATTTTTAATTATTGTTTTTTCCTTATTTATAGATACATTTTTATAAAATTGGGTATATTTATTTGTTTCTTATCATACTATTATTATTTTATTAAATGATATACTATATTACCCTCCCTGTAGCAGCAAACCTAGGTACTAGTTAAACCTAATGTTATTTAATAGGTTTGTGAAAATCAAATCAAGCAAATGGAAATTCGCTTAGTATGCAGGTTTGCTGAGTAGGGGGTATTTTTATTCATGCTTTCATTTATTTTCTATTAATAGCAAATCAACTGGCATACTCTCTAAATCAATACGGGGTTTGCTTCAATCAACTATATTGTGGAAATATTGACAAAACCACAATTTTTATACGTATTTGGAAAATTTATTTATTTTGAAGGTCTGTATTTTGGTTGTTATTTACGCTACACACTTGCTGTTAGGCTTAAACTGTCACAAATTTATCCTCGTTTAATTATATAAAGTAATACTTTCAGTAAAATCAACTGTTCGCGAGATAGAGTGAAAACCCACAGGAATGGTCAGATTTTTGCTATTTCATTAACAAGTGGCGCGCCCCGCAGCGCGCGGTGGTATCTCGAGGTGGATAACTTGGATTTTATGTTATGGGCCCAACACTAACAACATATACAAAAATCAGAACCACCCGACCTTTTGCATACCACAATGTCTTATTTTACTGGACTAATTATTTTATTTATAATATCATCTGTAATCCAATTACTATTTCCTCTGGTTAATCTACTTTTAAGCTTAGGAAAACAAACATCAAAATCATACTCTAAATTATATTAAAGAAAATGTCAAACTTATTACTAACAGGTGCAACACATTGATCCAGTTTTCACTTACCAAGAGTTTACAAAACTGAGCAATGCTATCATCAGTAAATTTCCTACGGTATGTTACAATTGTTTTTTGGGTTTTTAAAATTTCTATACTGTTACCAGTAATTACACACAGCTGAGCATCATGGTAAGACAATTCAGTAAATATTCCTGAAACTTGTATTTTGCTCTTGGCTATATTAGTAAAAACATTATCAATTGCACTCTTCTTTGTTTTGCAAATTCTAGTTGGGAAATTCACCAATGATATGGTTATATGGTTAGAGTTTAAAACATTAAACAACAATTTTTTATTTTTAGATTCCTCCAACACATCATCACATCAATATAATATTATTATCATAAGACTAGCAGAATACCCGTCCTTTGTACGGTGTTGGCGTATAAGTATAAAATGCTTATTGCAGTTATACTCATATTTTGTGTTTGCAATGGAAGAGGACACGGTTTGAGAAAAATTGGTTCTTTCAATTTATGAAAACTATAAAAGCTTATATAGTTATAAGCTATATAACTCATATACCATAGCCATGATGTTCTACCATTACACCTAAACAATAAAAAGTAAATTATTGAATATTCACACAATATCAAAACATTATTTATAAATTAAAAACATTAAATTAATTGAAAACAATCCTACTTTACAGTTCTCATTGTGCATTCCAACTCGCGTTACAGAGCATTCTAACACGGCTATAGACAACGTTGTTACTAACATAAAAGCTGAGAGTTTACGAGTAACTGGTCTAATAACACATATCTCTGATCATGATGGTCAGCTGTTAGAGTGGATCAATGTAAATATATAAAAAATAGGTTAACTAGGAAACAAGTGCGCTAGTTCAATCTTTGTAACATGGAATCATTCTGTAGGGGTTTGGGTTCTGAGTCCTGGTTTCAGGTTTTTCAATCCACTGTCAATCTTAAATATGATACGTTTTAATATGAGTTCAATTCGATTAAAAAATTATAGTACGGTATCTGAGTATGCAGTATGTATAACTAATATACTGTACATTGAGAACGGTCATAGATACTTACAGTTGTATTTGTTGAGGCAGTTGAGGCCCGAAACATCACATGGGGGATACTTGGTTGCGTCTACAATAACATACATGATAAAACAAAAGCTTGAGTATAACCTCTTATTTGTTTTAATCTTTTAAAGTTTACAGAAGTATCATTTACCATACGGTACCATATATATTAGGATCAATATGATTTTTAACGATTTGAGTTTTACCTTCAGTATCCAATAGTCAATAGTTTAACACACAATGTTAACATAAGAAACTAAACCACTGGTTACCATTAACACTTTAATGGGTGTAATAGAGTTAACAACTAAATATAATGTACTGAATACATTTTAAACCTTTATTAAACACTTTATCGCGATAGTTCCCAACAGGTGGTCCATAGAATTAATGGAATTAGGAATCGCAGGTGGTCTGCGAGAGCTTTGGAAGTGGTCCGTGGGGGACTTGGAGGAACAAATAATTCTTGAATAGAATTAAATTTGATATAAAGAAAAATAAGTTTATTTGGCAAATCAGACATGATGAGTGTTGATTAGTACACAGGGCCGCCCCAAGAGCGGGGTGATCGCCCTGGGCGCCGCGGCTAGGGGGGCACCGGGGCTTTGGGAGGTAAAAGATTTAACAACATTATCGGCAAACCACAAAATAATATTTTACGGGAAACTTGTAAACATGTAATGAATGACAATGACTATTTTAAATAATCAATCTATAGCTTTCGTTTTATTCATAAAACAAATACTGTTATTTAATAAACAACTGGTACAATTACTACTTTTACGTTTGGAATGTGACTTGTTAGCAATACTGCAAGTCGGAGACACACACTGCACGTAATTAATTGTGTAAATTTGCCCACACACCCCACCTACACTTGCTTGTTTCTAACTAACGTCAACTCATATATATTTTGCGGGCCTAACGACAACAATAGAGTGGTAGCAACATCAAATCAAGGAGTGGAGATAACTGAAAAATATGTCAAGCTAATATACAAATAAAATGTAAGCACTAAATGTAAAATAAAATATAATAAAGCTTTTCTGTAGCAAGCAGAGAGTAATTTAGTGTAGCGAGCTGTCTTCTGCCGTGTCCATCTCGTTGGCCCGTTCAGACTATTTTTTTCTTTATCTAGTAGGCTAAATTATATTTTTAATGTAAAATTTTGTTCTAAATAAAAGTATTATAGCTTGAAAATATAAATTTCTGGTTCATGTTTGGCAAATAGCTACATAAATAACTGCTGACGCTGATAGCTTATTAGGGGAAAAATCTATGTTTTTGGGTAAAAACATTGTTCTTTGATATATATATCGTATCACAAAAATCTATGTTAAAACATCGATGTTTGAAATTATAAACAGCGATGTTTTGAAAACATCAATATTCATACTATCACTATTTCTAATTTCAAAGCTCAAACTCTTATGCCAACTCATAGTTGTTTCGTATGATGTCCGTTGTCAGTCGTAAAATCAATGTTTTTAGTAATTTAGTTCAGTGTAGTTGTTACGTTACGTTACGACACAGAAAACATACTACTATAACCCAGAATGCCAACCGCTTGGTAAAAAGCGTTAAATACTTTGAGAGAGCTTTGCCTGTCAGTTTGTAGGCAGCGCCACCAGCGTTGCTATGCACTCGTCAGCTGATGGCGCTGCCTACAAACTGACAGGCAAAGCTCTCTCAAAGTACTTAACGCTTTTTACCATGCGGTTGGCATTCTGGGTTATAGTAGTAGGCCTATGTTTTCTGTGGTTACGATTAGCTCAGTGTTGTACAAACTCGAACTGTGAATAAAGACGTGGTTTTGACGATATGCTAACAGCATGACATTACTAACATTGTTTACATTGACCATCCATGGACCCTTTCCTTTATTTAAACAAACTTAACACTGTATGTAAAGGGTTTATAAAAAATACTTGCAAAACTTTCGATTAAGATATATCGAACGTTGGGTCAATGGGTCTATTGCGTAGACCCCCAAATACCTTTATTGGGGAGGGGGCAAAAATTTAAATGTCGCCCCGGGCGTCTTTTACCCTCGGGGCGGCCCTGTTACTACAAATAAGTTCTTCAATGTTGCAGTTGTTGATTTACCCTCTCGAAATCCAAACTGTGAATTTGTCAATAAATTGTTATTTTCATAATATTCATTCATTTGTTTATGCATGAGATATTCAAAAATTTTGGAAAAGATTGGCACTATTGAAATAGGGCGATAATCACCTTTTTTATATACTGGAATAATTTTAGAAATTTTGAGAAGGTCAGAGAAATAACCAATTTTCAAACATTTACTAATACAAAAAGCCAGAGGCTCACTTATAAAATGAATTATTTGTTTGATGCTATAATTTGAAAACCAGTAATGATCCATAGCTTTTGAATTTGAGAAATTAGCTACAACATTGTTAACCTCTTGCCATGATACCTCCCTCCATTGGAAATGTAATTGTCCTATAGGGGGAGTCCCCAGCAACTCATGCGCAGGTGTGTTGGTGAGAGGGATTTCGTTTTCTAGCTCATTAACACATTGAATAAAATAGTTATTGAGATTGTCAGCATTCAAAATCTCTGACTTAGTTGATGTAGGAGAATATTCATGCGATATAACTTCCCAAGCAGCCTTGCACCTGTTGGGGGCCTTATCAATATATCTTTCAAAAGCTTGCTTTTTGGCTAATTTTATTTCACGATTGTAGGCCTTTTTACAATCAATATAGGTTCTATAGGCATTTTCCAAATTATTTGATTTATGTTTGAGTAAGCTCTTATAAACAGAAAAACAAAGAAGCATTTTTCCCTAAGTTTTCTTAACTTTTCATTATACCAATTAAGTTTTCCTTTCTTATGTCTATTGTTTTGTTTGCACTTAACTAATGGGGAACTAAAATGCCACAAAGATACTAATCTCTTTTAAAAATTCATCAAAAAGTAATTGCTCATTTATTTTACCCATTTTATAGTCCATTATAATTTTCCATTTCTCTTGTACCAATTGATCAACAAAGTGTTTAATATTATTTTCATTTCGCCTTCGTATTATTTGTTTTATTCCTTATTTTGGGTTGTTACATTGTTTTATAGTTTTCTGAAAAAAATCTAATATTAAAGGTTCATGGTCTGCAAAACAATCTCCTACTGTATTTATGTTATATAAATCTGATGAAAAGTTTACAATTATATTATCTATGCATGATTTTCCTCTTGTAGGTTTTTTATTTGTACAAACTAAATTTAGACTTCGCAACAGATTGGCAAATTCAATAGATGTCTTCTTTTCCATTTTTATGATTTCTATGTTAAAATCACCTGCAATGGCTACAAATTTAAATGACTTTAACAGCTTTTTCACAGCAAGCTCAAAATTTTCCAGAAACAAACCAATATCACCACTAGGGGATCTGTAAACACTTAAAACTATAAGATCACTAGCTGACCCGGCGAACCTCGTATCGCCTAAGTTAAAGGTTTCCCCTAAGACAGACCGATGGAAAGAAAGTAATGTTACGTTTAATTTTCAAGATGATCTCGTTCGCATCGCTCAATCACGTCCTGGTTGAAGTTCGTTCACTACGCTCACTCACCTTTGGGTTGGAGCTCGTTCGCTACGCTCACTCACCTTTAGGTTGGAGCTCGTTCGCTGCGCTCACTTGCCTTCAGGTTAGCTCGTTCGCTACGCTCACTCGCCTCCAGGTTGAAGTTCGTTTGCTACGCTCACTCACCTTTTGGTTGCAAATTAGCTGTTGTCATAAATGTAAAAGAAATAATAGTTCTGCACCCTGTTGGTAATCCTTGTAACTTTAATGCTATTGAACATCATAGAATAGAACCAACTTGTTTAATTGAAACAGCTGTTAAGATTCATTAATTCCATTTCTCATAAGATTAACATGGGAAACTCCAGAGCCACTGGGGCGGAGCCCTTTTAAGAATTTCGAAACGGGAAATAGTTTACGTCCGATTCGCATACCTACAGAATTTACACACCAAATTTCATAACGATCGGTGAAGTCGTTCCGGAGGAGTTTGCAGACAAACACTGTGACACGAGAATGTTATATATTAGATAATCAATTATTTTAATACAGCTAAATTCACAATGAAGCTCAATGCAAAATAAGCTAACATATATTTTGGTGAATGTTAACCCTTCTCTTAAAAATATTCCTACCCCACCATTTTTTATACTTTTCCTACACATGATATCTGCAGCAATAAAATCTTTAGGAACAAAGAATTCAACTTCCGACTCTAACCAATGTTCAGACACACATATTACCTGCACTTGCTCTATGGCACAAAAGTGTTCTAATTCTAACATTTTGTTCCTAATAGACCGGATATTAACCTGTAAAATTTTTAAGTATTCTTGATTTTCATTGTTATTTGTTTTAGCATTATTATTTACAGTAAAATCAAAATCATCCATAATTATTGCAGCTACCGGTAATATGTTTTTTGTTTTGTTTTTTCTAAAAAAACTTCATCGATTTGTTCATCTAACATAGTACTATTTACAGTGGTATTTTCTACATTAATTTGACATTTAGATTTACAGACTTCCTTAATATTTACACTTGGGCTGATCACGGCAACCCCCGCACACACACCATTACTCTGCTTTAGTGTCTCACTGTAAGTGAGAACACCCGGAGACACTCTCACTTTATCACTGAGTGCAGACTCTAGCAGTGTAGGACCGGAGACAGTAGGGTGCAGCTCAGTAGTTGGTGATGTAATGTTTGCAGTGTCCATGTTGGTTAGATCAGTAGAATTTACAAGAGATTCAGAAGACATGGTGTCATGTTGGGAAAGATCACTTGATGAATGGTCTCCCCTGTTGCCAGAATCATCAACACAAACAGCTTCGGTACCATTTGAGAAGGTTTCTTGAATGTTGGAAATATGAGACTGTCTTGGGACACCGAAGGATTGTTGTAGCATCTTGACAAATTCAACATATGAAAGGCCATTCCTTAGTTTTCTAGTTGACATTTCCTCATAAACTATGAAATTTACGCTAGCACCGGTAGACCTTTGACATTTTTTTAT